GACAGCTCAGAATTCATGGACAATGAAGAAGAAGGTGTCTGGGAGACAATGGAAGAAGGTACTGATCCAACCAATGGTGGATCTGAGGACAAACCATGATAGAGTCTTCATCAGGAACCCATATCAAGTCCAAAACAAAGCTCTGTTAACATGTGCTCAGCATCAGGTCATACACACAAGGATCGATCTGCTTAAATACCCCTTGGTACTAGAAGTCCCCGTTAGCTTACCAATAGATTATCAAGCTGATTTACTTGATAAAATAATTCCATGAAGAGGTAGCCAATGGCCTGCGGAGGGAGCATCATGCCCAAGTTTTATTGTGACTACTGTGACATGTATCTCACCCATGACTCTCCATCTGTGAGGAAGACACACTGCAGTGGTCGAAAACACAAAGAGAATGTGAAAGACTACTACCAAAAATGGATGGAAGAGCAAGCCCAGAGCCTGATTGACAAAACAACGGCTGCATTTCAACAAGGAAAGATTCCCCCGGGCTCCATTCTCTGCTCCTCCTCCTGCTGGGGCCATGATCCCGCCTCCCCCCAGTCTCCCGGGTCCTCCTCGCCCTGGCATGATGCCTGCACCCCACATGGGAGGCCCTCCCATGATGCCGATGATGGGCCCCCCTCCTCCTGGGATGATGCCCGTGGGACCTGCTCCCGGCACTTATATTGTGAAAGTGAAAATAAATGGTCAGCTGTCTTACTTAAAAATAATAATAATAATAATAATAATAATAATAATAATAATAATTCCATGAAAATTGTATGAAGAGACACTGGAGTTTTGGCAGTTATATAATGTTAGTTTCATCAGTAGAAAAATAAAATTCCCCATTGTCATTCCTCAAATGGCAATCTCATAGATGGATATTGTTGACACCTTACTCTACTGGAGTATAGTTCTTCCCTCTGTCTTCATCATGAGGCTTCTTGAAATCCAATCTGACACTATCCTCTCTAATTCTTGTCTAAAAATTTCATAAAATTCTTCACTGGTTGTCATTGTCCATTTTACATGCACTACCCTGTAGGATATTGGGACCCCTGGAGATTTTTTAAGTATAACAAACTCATCATAGGGCTGGAGAAATGGCACAGAGGTTAAGAGCACTGACTGCTCTTCCAGAGGTCCTGAGTTCAATTCCCAGCAACCACATGGTGGCTCACAACCATCCAGTATGAGATCTGGTGCCCTCTTCTGGTGTACATGGAAGCAGAATGGCATATACATAATAAATAAATAAAATCTTTAAAAAAAATCTTCCATCATAAAATTTTACCTTCAAATGGCACACCCATGACATTAAGATAATCTCAGTGTTTCATTGTGAGATCCTGGATCTGGAGAGCTCAAGTGTTTCAGGAAAGAGCCTCAGCCCTCAATGACCCTCGTGGAGATATACATGTGTGCATAGAGACTTTTCCTTACACTCAAGGAATAGAACCAACTTGGTCCCCTCCTTCCCAAATTGAAATAAAATCCTAAGGAGAATGAGACTATAATCATTGCTCTGGATGGACAGCTAAATGCCTAATTCTTAGCTGTTGTGATGCCTGGACTGTGGCCCTTGAAATATATACATTGTAGGAAGTTAATTTATGTCACCTGGGCCTTACATAATTGCAGAGAAAAACACTGTGTATTTGCTAAATTTACATCACTTTAATTATATACGAAGGACACATTATATCTTCTGTTTTGGGGTTCTTAGAAAGTTATTTATCTTGGTTTCCAAAGGGAACACAGAGCCCACTATTGTTAGGATGGCTTGTTCTGTAACAAACAGCTATTACTTAATAAGCTATTGTTGATGATACAACTTAGAACCAGAGCAATGTGAAATGCTGTCGTGACTTCTTAAACTATTTCTTGTGGCCCAATAAAACTGTGAAATTTTTGCTGAAAGTATTTGTTATTTGACACTCTCCTATTAAGCAAGATACCTTCTGAGAAAGTTTTCATTGAGGCACCAATGTTTGAAAGTCAAATTTGAAAAGTATCTAGAGAATATAGAGGCCACTTGTGATGGGTCATCTTGGTTAAAAATTTGTGAGTGACTTAAATCAAATAAGGAAAAAACCAGATAGACACATCTATTAGTGTTATGTTTGAGTAGATTTTTTTAAACATTTTGTTTCATATTATGTATATTGGTATATTACCTCAGTGAATGTCTACCCTGGTATCTGCAGAGGTCAGACTTGGGCATCTGATCTACTAGAATTGTTGTTATGGATGATCCATAAAGTGGGTTTGGAAACAAAACACTATCCTCTGGAAGAGCAGCCAAAGCACTTAGACTTTGAGGCAACTCTCTAGTTCTTGATAAGGTTTTTGCACTGTGAGGACATGCTGTAAGTGTCAGAGAAAACCTCACATGGCAGTTGTATAAAAGGGTGGCTCTGAGGAACCCTGAGACAGTGAGTGTGATTGGAGAATGTCCTAGGACTCAGCCTTTGATTTCAACACAGACAATCCCGCAAGCAAATCATTCAGCCTGATCTATACACTCTGACACCCCGTGTGGAATCCATGAACCTCTGGTGTCTGGGCTCTCTGGAGGTCATAGTCATACACTCCTTAGAACAGGAAATTCAACGTTTGGGGGGTAGGACAAGGTAAACAACTCTTTCCATGAGAGATTATTGCACAGGTCTATACAGTATTTACATCATAGAAGGACTGTCTCCTCAGAGAGCAGTGACACCTGTAGCTCATGATAACAAAGTAAAGGACACTCAGTGGTCCCATCACCAACCTTTCCCCCAGGAGAGAAAGGGTCCTGTTCTGAGTAGTCACCATTACAGTCCAGCCCTGGGTGATGCTGTCTCTTTCTACAACTCTACAGTAATCTATGCCTGTCAGCCATGTCCAGACAGTTGGTGACCTGGTGCTGAGCCTGTGTGGTAGCATCATAGAGCCAACCCTTTGCCAGTTTCCTAAGAAGTACAACTGTGACAAGGCCATGCATTGCTGCCCACAAAAGCTGCCCACACCTGCCACTCAGTGCTATAAACTACCTTAAGAAGAAGGGTGGATACACCAGCAACTTGCACCCCATGAAAATCAAATATCATTGGAAACTTTCTTGGTCCAGGACCCTCAGGACCCATGCAACTTTTTTTACGAATCAGAAGGACTAAGGAAAGTGATAATGCTAAGACTGAGCTAGTGACAACCTTTAGCCCTGACTCTGATCCATACTGTGTGAGGAGAAACCTGCCGTCTGTATGTAAATGAGTTCATCCTAGCTGTCTTCTAACATCCATGCGTGTGCTGTGACATATGTGAATGTACACACATAAAGAAAAAAGTAAGGGTAATTCATTATTATCATTCTTATATAAGTGTAATTTAAAGAAATAAGTGCAATGTAATAAGTAAGTGTAATTTAAAGTTGTAATGTAAAATACACACATCAAAAAGGAACAACCAGAAAAAGTAGTGCACAATGCTTTTGTTTTGTTTTTTAAAGATGTATTATTATTATGCATAGTGTCTTGCCTGGATATATACCTGCATGCAGGAAGATGGCACCAGATCTCATAACGGATGGTTGTGAGCCACTGTGTGGTTGCTGGGAATTGAACCCAGGACCTCTGGAAGAGCAGCCAGTGCTCTTAACCTCTGAGACATCTCTCCAGTCACTAACATGCTCTTGTAACCCAGCACTTGAGTCTATGAGGAAGTGGATTATACATTTTATTCCATGCAGATGTGCACAGTGAGACCTGTCACAGAAACCTTCAAACAGTTTGAACATGAAGAAGTATTTCACATAAAAAATGTGAAAAGGAATAAAGCAAGAACACATGAAAATTTGCATTTCTTATGTGTAATATTCATTCATGTCTGCTATCAACTGGTGTTGACAAAGATGAGGACAGATGAGACAGACACTGGTGGGATTTTGGAAATGGCATCCATTAAATATTGATGGAGTCTACTGCATGACCCAGCCACAGCTTTGGAGAAGTCAGAGCCTGGTGCATGAGGACAATAGTTCCCCTTCCTGTGGAGTCAGCATGTCATGGGGAGTGCCCTGGCAGGAGAGGCCACACCCTGTGTCTCTGGCCCCTTCAGACAGACTCTGTAGCTCTGTGGATCAGCACAGTTGCAGCCTCCAGGAGGAGATGCCATGACCGTCTCCTTCACAGCCCTGCTCTGTCTGGGTGAGTTGTGGAGATGGGGAGGGATGCTGTGCTCTGGGATTGATGCTGCCCCACAGCCCAGCACGGGTCAGTTAGGAAACCCCAGGGTGTCAGGAGGTTCTGCAGAGGGGAGGACCTTCTCAAGCTTCAGGGACAAACCTCTCACAGGGAACTCTCTTCCAGGACTGACTCTGGGCCATGGGACACCAGTGCTGGCAGGTGAGTGAGTGTCTGCAGATGTCCTGACATTGCCTGTCATCATTCCTGAAGCCATGCTGGGCTCTGGGAATGGAAAACAACACGTGTGTGCTGCCCCTGGGGATGGATGGAGGGTTGTGGTTTGGGCTGCAATAAGCTGTGTGAGGGGAAAACGGGAGCCCAAGGATACCGTCTGTATACAATTACAAACCAATATTTAACATACAGAGAGACCATACCGAATACTGAGAACAGGGCTGATTTCTCAATCTCAAAAATAGGTCCTCAGGACGCAGGGCAATATAACTGTCAATACTGGACCCATGATGGATTGTCACAGTACAGTGATACCCTGGAACTGGTGGTGACAGGTAAGAGGACTTACAGAGTCCACAGCCTCAGGTTTGTCTGTCAAGAAGTGTAGACAGGGATGACTCCCCACACAGCCCTGGAGAGTAAAGAGGCCTTGGAGGGCATTTAACTGATTCTCCTTCTCTCCTAGGGGCCTACAGTAAACCCAGCCTGTCAGCCCATCCCAGCCCTGTGGTGACTGAAGGAGGGAATGTCACTCTACAGTGTGTCTCAAGGCAACAAAGTTGCAAGTTCTTTCTGATTAACGAAGGACCACAGAAGGTCTTCTGGACACGGCAATCAAAGTACAACTACTCTACTCGGCGGTACCAGGCCCAACTCCGTGTGGATGCTCTGACCTCGAGCCAAAGGTGGACATTCAGATGCTACAGCTTTGAGAGTAACAGACCACAGGTGTGGTCAGAACCTAGTGACCCCCTGGAGCTCCTGGTCTCAGGTGAGAAACCCCAGTCTTTCCCTAGAATGCTGCTGAATTGACACAGGTGCTGAGGGAGGTCTTGGTGTGTGAAGTGTGAGGAGCCAGGGCTGCTGAGCCCATTGACACAGGCAGTGGGAGACAGAGGGACACAAGATACAGAATCCAAGGGAGAGACTGACAGCAAAGCTTAAGAGGTCCAAGACAGAGAGGAAACGTCATGGAGCCCTCTGTTACTCTGCATCAGCTTAAATGGCATCCTGAGCTTCTATGGAGCTCAGGGAACTCCATAGAAGAGAGAGGAAGGGGTGGAGAAGCCAGAGCACTCAGGACACCAGGAGATCACAGCCCACAGGATCAGCTCAGCAGGGACCAGCAGGGCTCACAGAGACTGAAGCAGCCACCAAGGCACATGCTTGGGTCTTCCCTAAGCCCTCTGCACACAGGCTGTGCTGGTTTATTTACCCTGGCTTCTTTTTATTTTTTGTTTCTTAGAGATTCACTGTGTAGCCCTGTCTGTCCTGGCTGTCACTCTGTAGACCAGGCTCGCCTTGAAATCAGAGAGATCTGCCTTCATTTGCCTCCTGAGTGTTGGAATTAAAGGTCTACACCACCACTGCCTGACTAGCTTGGGGTTTTTGTTAGAATCATGACCATAGGAGTGTGGAAGTCTCTGACTCTTTTGCTTGCACAGGGGATCTTTTTTCTCCTAATGTGTTGCCTTCTCCAGCCTTAACAGGAGGGTGTTTGCCTAGTCTGACTGCATGCTGTTATGCCATGTTCCATTAATATCACTGGGAACCCTCGCTCTGTTCTGAAGGGAAACAGAGCAGCAGTGGATCTTGTGAAGAGGGGAGGTAAGGGGAATCTGGCAGAGTGTATTGTTGGCCAGAATAATAACCTAAATAGAAATAAGAGCCATCTTCAACGGTGACTACACCTTCTTCTCTCCTGTTTCCTTGCAGGGACCCTCCACAAACCCACCATCAAGGCTGAGCCAGGCCCTGTGATTGCTTTAGAAAGTGCAGTGACCATCTGGTGTCAGGGGACCCTGGATGCAGAAATGTATGTTCTTCATAAAGAAGGAAGCCAAAAGCCATGGGGCACACAGTCCCCAGAGGAGCCTGGCAAAAGGGCCAAGTTCTCCATCCCTTATGTGACACAGCAACATGGGGGGCAATATCGCTGTTACTGTTACAGCTCGGCTGGCTGGACAGAGCGCAGTGACACCCTGGAGATTGTGGTGACAGGTGAGGGGACACTCGGGGTCTCAGCCCCAGGCTCTGCTCTCAGGAGTACTCCCCACCCCCACCCTAGCCCTGGAGAGCATTGTGACTGTTTAATCCCATGTAACAGATTTTTCTTCTGTCCTAGGAATGTACAACAGTAAACCCAG